AACACTCAGGCTCTCTGCCTCCAAAGTGAAGTGGACCTCGTGCCTGAGCGGGAGGAAGCAGGCGACACTGTAGAACGCACTGTGACATGCTGGGACCCCAGCCTGCTGGGCTGGGCCTCCTTCCTGGCATTTTGGGACTGCAAATGGGGTGCTGGGGTCCAGGGCACGGCCTCCAGGCCTCGCAGGCAGCCCTGCTAGTGTCCGGCCAAGGCTCAGTGTGGCCTTTGGAGCCGACAGCCTTGCAGTCCTCGGAACCCTGGGGGCCAGAGAGCACCCCGCTTTCTTCCCCCGGGCCACATGCTCTGCTGCCGCCCCGAGGCCCACGTGTCCTTCTGCCCCACCGGGGCCATGCCGAGCGTGGGGCGGTGGCCTCCCATCACCTCACTGACCCCTCGGAGCCCGTCCCATAGCTGCTTCGGTCCCCGCTCATCTGGAGGACAGAGGCCGAGGAGGGCGGCTGGAGGCCCGCTCACGGCGCTGTGTCCCTAAGGCCTTCTCTGGGTGCTCCGCAGATGGGCCGCGGCCTGGCGACGAGCCCCCGGTCAGCTTCCTGCCCAGGGAGCAGGGCCCAGGCGCCTCCTTCCCCACCACCATCCCCATGATCCAGCAGCTGCTCAACGCCACGGAGCTCACGCAGGACCCGGCCGCCTACTCCAGGCTGGTGGCCGTGCTGGTCTACACCGCCGAGCGGGCCAAGTTCGCCACGGGAGGCGAGCGGCAGGACTGGATGGAGCTGTTCATTGACACCTTTAAGCTGGTGCACAGGGACATCGTGGGCGACCCCGAGACCGCGCTGGCGCTCTGCTGACGCCCTGGGCCGCCCACGCTCCCACTCAGAGAAGCCAGCGCCGAGCCCTCTGGGCCGTCAGCTCCCTAGGTCGCCCGCCCGGCATGGGCTTAGGATGCCAGGAATCCCTCAGTCTGGGGCCAGATGCCAACGTCCAGGTGTCCAGGGAGGGTCGTTCCTGCCTCTCCCGTTGCTGGCCGCCTGCATGGTCACCGTAACCCACTCCACAGCCTGACCGCCTCCGTCTCCCCGACGAGGGCACAAGTGGCATTTGGGGCCTGGGATCACCCGGGACAGTCTCCCGTCTCGAAGTCTAATCTGGTCCCATCTGCAAAGGCCGCATTCGCAGGCTCCAGAATCCGGCGTGGGCATCTTTGGGGGACGGTGCCCAGCCAACTGCACTACCCCGTTGCTGAGCTGTCTCACATGTTGGAGGGCGTAAGAGTCGCCCATCAAGCCAGAGCCGCCTGCCGAAGCCACCAGCCCAGACTCGCGGAGGGACCAGAGACCCCACTCCCTCGGGGAGTGAGGAGCACCCCCTGAAGGCTGCCCAGGGCCTGCTCCCCTGGAGGCCGAATTCAGGCGAGCCCCCGTCCCGGGCGTGGGCTGCGGCCACCGCTCTGGTCGGCGCCCCTCCCGGCTCCGGGGTCAGAGTCTCATCCCCCCACCTGCTGCACCGTCTCCCCACCACAGGTGGGGTCAGCAGAGGGAAAGGAGGGGAACAGCAGGGCCTCCAGAACACCCCAACTCTCCCAGCTTAGGCTCTGGCCTCTGGGCCGGGTCACCCCTTGCTGAGGACTCCCCCAAAACCAGTCCCCTCACCCCCGCACGTCCGCCTGAAGTCAGGGCAGCTGGAGGACTTGCCGATGTTTTCAGCGGCCCCGGCCGCTCCCGCCTACGGCAGCAGCCGCTCCGCATGTGCCCGGCCCCAAAATAAGCTACGTCGTCAATAAGCTTTTTCAAGAGCAGCCCGCGTGCCCGCGCCCTGCCGCATGGTGACACCCGTGACACACCCCCCGGCACCGCGTGGCGACAAATCCAGGGTGCCTCTCAGGCGCTGGAGCATGTCTCAAACGTTCTATAAAAGCTGAAAACAACACAAGTGCCTTGCTGTGGTCGAGTGACAGGCTGGGTGATCGCTGCCAGCAGCAGGCTGGCCCACAGCGGTCACCTGTGAGGTGGGCATCGTCCAGGACGAGTCCTGGACCGAGGCCCCCGGTCGCTGGTGCTGCAGGTCAGGATGTCCTTCTCAGGGGGACCCCGAGCTCCCAGCCCCTGGAGTGGGCAAACCTGGACTGCAGACGGCCCTCTCTGTCCCACGTCCAGGAGGAGTCTCCGTGGGGCTGAGGAGCCGGACACAAGCAAGGGACCAGCCCGTCCCTGCCCAGCCCCGGGGCGGTTAGGGTTGAGGTCTCGGGGGGCAGGCTGTGACGGAGGGGCCTGGCTTTGTGTCTGTGGTGGGTGGACCGCGTGCCAGCCTGCGGTCCCACATGTGTGTGCGGACTGGGTTTTCAGACTGCATGGTGCCCATGTCCCCCAGAGGCCCAGCCTTGTCTCCAGGCTGTCCACCGTGTCCAGGGCTGCTCACCACCCAGAAGGGGTCAAAGGTCTCCTCAAGTAACAGTGAGTCTCCTGGGCTGCCACAGGGGTCTCGCTACCCCTGTGCCTGCTGTCCAGTCAGAGGAGACACAGGCCCTTCCTCTTCCCTGTGCCCCAAGGCCCAGAGAAGTGTGTTCCAGCAGCTCTGGGGCAGGGGGGGGTGGTGGGGTGAGGAGGCCTCAGCCTCAGGTGGGTCCTTGTGCCCAGCGGTCTTCATGAGGTCTTATACACTTACAAATCTGCCCCTCTCTCCCGCCCCCCCTCCCATGGGCTGTGGCCCTCCAGGGGGCACCCACTTCTCAGGCCAAGTGAAGGGGCACGAGGCAGAGATGCTGCCCCAGGTTTGGGGGCGCTTCCTGGTGCAAGCACAACCAAGAGAGGGTGCTTCTGAGGGGCGGGGGCGGGACTCTGGGCCCCGCCCAGGGCCTGGGCAGAACGGGGTGTGGCCTGGGTGGGCGGGCGCGCCGGGGGGCGTGGCCGGGGCGCACCGGGTCAGCCCTGCCCACCACGCCTGTCTCCCCCAGAGCTGTACGTGGCCCAGTGCACGCAGCGGCCCGTGGACATCGTCTTCCTGCTGGACGGCTCCGAGCGGCTGGGCGAGCAGAACTTCCACAAGGCCCGGCGCTTCGTGGAGGAGGTGTCCCGGCGGCTGACGCTGGCGCGCCGGGACGATGACCCCCTCAACGCGCGCCTGGCGCTGCTGCAGTTTGGGGGCCCGCGCGAGCAGCAGGTGGCCTTCCCGCTGACCTTCAACCTGACGGTCATCCACGAGGCACTGGAGCGCGCGACCTACCTCAACTCTTTGTCGCACGTGAGCTCCGGCGTGGTGCAGGCCATCAACCAGGTGGTGCTGGGCGCGCGGGCCGGGGCGCGCCGCCACGCCGAGCTGGCCTTCGTGTTCCTCACGGACGGCGTCACGGGCAACGACAGCCTGGACGAGGCGGTGCACTCCATGCGCAAGCAGAACGTGGTGCCCGCCGTGGTGGCCGTGGGCGACGACGTGGACATGGACGTGCTCTCCAAGATCAGCCTGGGCGACACGGCCGCCATCTTCCGGGAGAAGGACTACGACAGCCTGGCGCAGCCCAGCTTCTTCGACAGGTTCATCCGCTGGATCTGCTAGTGCTCCCGCCGGCCGTGCCCGCGTGCGCGCGCGGTCAGCGGGG